GTTATTGGTAAATATTAAATTTGGAAACTAAAAATAGTGATACTTATTTTGCATTAAAAAAAAAAAAAAAACATATAGATGGATTTAGAATGTGACCACTATAAAAAGTGCTGAAGAATTGTTTTGCTCCATGCTATGAAGCATGGATACTCCTTTCAGGGGTCTCATACCAGTATCCGACACTGTTCGGATACGGACACGCATGTGCAAGGTTCGGACACATGTCCGACACCTCTGTGAAGAATCCAGAAATTATTTTTTATTGGACACGGCTCGGACACGTGGAGGACATGGGGTGGACACGGTTCGGACATGTGGGGGACACAGCGGGTTATATTTTGTAATTTTTTTTAAAGATAAATATGACACCTAATATAATTTACTAATTTTAGAAGTTTAAAAGTAAAATTTTGAAAAAATAAAAAATAACTACAGACAACAGAGTACTACACAGTAAATTTATTTTCTCTCACTTCCTCTCTCAGTCTCTCCTCTTTTTCAATTATCTCTCTACATGAACAAGACATTTTTTTTTTTAAAGTTAGATGAACAAAACTGTGTGAAAGACTGAAAGTATATATGTTTATTTATGTATATATTTAGCCCATTAAAACTATGTCTCTTCTGTACATCTTCATTTAGAATTTGGATCAACATTATTTTTCATTTATTTTTTGTTTTATCTTGTCTATATTTTTTTCTTATAACAGAGATGAAATTATTAAAATTGGTCATGTTATTTGTTGTTGTTTTATTTGCAATTTTGTATTTATATATACTTATTTGTTATTAGGAAAATGAATGTGAAAGGTTCTAGTAATTATATTTTGAATATATATATATATATATATATATATATATATATATATATAATTTTATAGGTGTATCCCGCCGTGTCCGTATCCTATTTTTTTTAAATTTGATGTGTCGCTATATCCGTATCATGTCATACTTGTGTCCGTATTCGTGCTTCATTGACTCCATGCAAGAGATAACTACTCTACTCTACTATATATATATATATATATCTAATATGTTATTACCATAGCGGTCACTACCTACCTGGGAGGAATTGGATTTCATCAGCTCAAGTCAAGACCAGCATGTCCTCGCTCTACCATGTTTCGAAGCAAAATTCACCTATTAAAAATGGACTATAATATTGTGTGACCTTTTATCATTTATCATTGCTAGAGTACATTATTTTAATTGAAAAGTAGTGATAAAATGACAAGATAAACATAAATCAGTAATTTAATTTTTGGACTTTGTTAACTACTAACACAGTGATGAAATCTGTTATAAAGGAGTAGAGATGTGCATACCTGAATTGGTTCGGTTGGGTTCTAAATTCAACCATAATTAAATCCGTCTTAATAATTAAAAAAATATATTTAATCTAAATCGAATGATTAGAATAAGTGAAACAACACCAAATCATAGATAATCATATGAATTGATTTTTGTACAAAAGTGAAATAAATTTAATAACTTGTTATCTTGTATAATGAGGTGCACAGTATTATTAAGCTATACACTTCGTATCAAATGTGTTTTATAAATCAAATTTTAAATTGGTAAAAGGTTGGGATAATAATTTATATAATGTTTTCGCTGTTGGGATTTATATGCCCTGGTATAGCAAATTCCTATTTAGATTAAAGTGACATAAGTTCCTGACGTTTCTGAAATATTTATGTTTTATACAATTAGTGAATTCAATGTATTATGTTTCGATTCATTATAGAATTGATAGTGTCCACTTGATTACAAGAGATATTTATATATGTATGTGATGGTGATTAATACATGAATATAAATAATAATCATAAATGGTTCATGGTCGGTAATTATGGATGGACTCATAATTGATTAAGACTTGAACTGGATTCGCGTTAGGTTGAGATATATTGCGAGGGCCGTCGTATGCAATTGCTCCCTATCACCGTCATAACATTTGACTCTTAAGTATGAGAAAATTATAAACTCTTTTATTAATTAATAATTACTTTGATTTGTTCGGCGGATTCTTCGGGATCCTTAGACCGACACTTTGGGTAGTTATGTAATTAATAGTTAGAGGGTTATATTTTCATTATTTGCATCATTGCTACTTGTATTTATTTTGTATTGATTATGGTTGATCACAAAGTAAATTCGAAGGCCTTCGTATAATTTTAGACAAAATGATTTATTATATATTTATTTATTTAAATTATTATTTTTGTCAAACAAATGTTTTATTGTGATCGAGCCAGAAATAATCAATGGTACCAAAATAAATATATTAATTAAGTAGTCGGATTGATGGCTTTATTTATCCGATAACTAATTATGCATAGATGAGTCAAAGTGTAATATTGACTTAGTGGTTATTTATTATTTAATTGGAGTTCAATTAATTTCTTTTAGTGGAGTAGAAATTAATTTATGAATTAATTGAATTGGGTCCATGGACCGGGCCAATTATTAATTCATTATAGCCGATAAAATAATAGGCCCAATGGATTCTCACTCATAGCCCAACTTGATATTGGAATCATATTAGATTTGAGACATATGAATTAGAGATTGAGAAGGATTTGTGGTTTCCTTTTCTTTATTTTTATGTTGCCTATAAATATACATGGTCTTTTTATGTTGCCTATAAATATACATGGTCTATGTATATTTTGAGGGTGATTTTTAGAAGAAGGAAAAAGGAATATATTTTCGCTCTCTAGAAAATTAGGGTTTATGTTCTCATCTAATGGAGGCTCCCACAAGCCTAGTTTTCCAAGGTTATTCATGGAGACTTATGAGTGATTCCTAAAGGCAAGATATTACCAAGAAGATGGAGATCCATGGAAAAGGTGTCTAGCAAAAGGGATCTACAATAAGTGAGAACATTCAATAAGGAAAGATCTAAGGTTTACTCAAACCTTGATGTAAGTATTTAATCTTTTAATTGAATGATACATCATGTTTTATTTTTGTATAAAACTTGTCTCTATGTGATGAATCAAGATCTATGAATCAAAATCCCTCGAAAAGTTTTTAAAACTAGCACATTTCCCAACATTCGCACCATTTTTCAAGAAGCTGTAGAAGACTGAGCTAGATGAAAAATTGACTCTCAAGCTCATAAAATATATATTTTTTATGATTTATATATTTTCATTAAAAAAAAATTACAAGACGCGTCTTTTACATACCAATCTTACCATCTTTTATGCTTGTATATTAAAAATAAGTAAATTAAAAAAAGCAACTTTACATGAGTCCAAACTCCAAAGAAGAATCCATTTAGGATATGGCTTAGCAGTTTATTCGTTGAATTTTGGAACTTAGTAAATCCAAATCTGAGGTTCGAGTCTCACTAAGTGTTCTTTATGATTAGGTTAGCTTCTACTATCATTGCAGTGACCTACCTCGTTCGGGTGGAGAGGTGTCATTCCGAACACTCCAGTTTAAAAAAAAAAAAAAAAAAAAAATCCTCCAAAGAAGACTTATTGTATATAATTGCCGAAAAAAACCTTAATTCATGAACTTCCAAGTCAAGACTTACCAATGGCTTCACTAGCCTTCTTAAAATTTGAAACTGTGATAGCATTATCTGCTATTTTTTCAAAGATAAATTCAATTTTCATTACCTAAAAAAAATCAATCAAATAAATAAGGGGAAATTAATTAATATATGTATATATATATATATATATATATATACAAACTTCAGATATTTCCAAGACCCCCTAAAATAGTGGGAAGTAACTCAACCGCTAGTATACGGAGTGAATATACCTTTATCTAAAAATAAAAAATAAAAAAGTCAGAAACAAATAAATATAAGTTATTTGTCTATTAATTTAAAAAGTATCTTTTAATCTTCACAATCCCTAATTGAGAGGCATTATTCTTGCTGTTATGTTAGTTGCATTTGCAAATTACAAGGAAAAAATAAAAAAAGACGGAAGAAGAAGTAATTTCTTTAGTATTATTTTCTCTTTTGTGCTTAAAATGTCCAAAATTTATTTACAGGCTTCCATTTTTTATTTTAATATTATATTATATGATTATCTGTCGTGGTCAGAAATAAATATTAAAGTCTGTTAATATCAAGAACATACCACTTCATTTATGGATAATTCTAACTATCACTTCACTTTAAACAGATTTTTTCTTTAATTTTTTGATAAATAAATAAATTACTGGTCTTGTTACGTGCAAAAATTTATTGTTTTAAAGATGACATGTCACGTTATTATTGGATTACACTATAAATGTATTGTATTGTTGGAGTCTATAATAAATCAAGTGATTAATCTCTTTACTTGCTGTTAATCAATGTGAATACAAAATTACAGTCCTTTTTTTAAAAAAACAAATACTAATATTTTTAAAACATTAATTCATATTAATTAGCTTTGTTTTAATTAACCCAAGTGACCCTATAGTTGCCAAAACCTTAGAAGATTCCATTATTATTTGATTTGATCAAAAACCTCGTGCCCAAAGAGATACAACTAAATAGATATTCTTTCGTACAGGGGCAATTATGTAATTTCACTCCCAAAGACGGCTTTAACTTTCTCCTCCACACTGCAAAACACGCCCTTTTATTTGACACGATCGTCCTCACGCGCTTTCGCTTCCCACGTGCCAAAGCGCGTGCGTGCCTTCTCATTCACGGCCTCACACATCCACGTCATCACCCCTTTTGGGCCCCACAACTACAAAAACCCTAAATTCACGACACATGCGGCCCAAATTAACTCCAAACTCGAATACCACTCATCTCCACTTCGTCAAACAACCACGACCCGCCACGTGTCCGAATCACCAGATCCTAGCCGTTCAAGCCAGGTGGGACGGTCATCACCCCCGACAGCAAACAAAACCACATCCACCGTTAGATCAGAACACGAAACCAAATCGACGGTCAAGAATCTACCCGAAAGTCACACGGGCAGATCTCAGCGCCTTTAAGAAGCGATGCTCGTCCCCTCTCATTCCTCGCTCAACCCCAAACCCTAGTGTTGTATGCTCCCCTTTCGATCTATATATATACAAGCGTATATATATATTTTGATATTTATATGGTCGCCGGCCGGTGAACTGAAGGCTGTTGAATCAGATTCCGGCGGTAGGGTGTCATCGTCAACTGTATGTTCTCTTTAATACCGGCTTTTGAGCCTCGTCGCCGGAGATATTCCGGATTTCGACCTCGCCGGAGCAATTCCGTACGTCCATGGCGTCCGCCGTCTTAGCGAGCCGCAATGAATCGAGCTGGGGCCAGTCTGGTGCTGGATTCATGGGGAAACACCCTTACTCAAACCCTAACCCTAACCCTAACCCAAAACCTAATTCTTTTTCCAAAAAAAAGCAATTTCACGCGCTTACTGGTCAGATCAACGGCCGGAATTCTGACGACTCTCCGGCTGTTACTCAGACGGCGTCTGATGATGCGTACTCGTTCAATCAGAGATCGATCGAATCGAACAGTTGTACGGATTTCAATCGTGGAAGATACGTTAGCTTCAGCATCGGTTCGTGTACGAGAAGCGAGCTGATCGAGCTGAAGAAGAAGTTGATGTCAGAGCTGGAACAGATCCGGAGCTTGAACGATCGAATCGAGTCCGGAAAATTCCAGCCAAGATCGCAGTTTCCCGGAAAATTCAAGAAATTGTCGGGGAACAAGCGGCCGATTCCGTTTGTTTCCGGCAAAGATTCGAAGCGATTGTGTCAATCGTCTTCGAATGAGATGGGGAATGCGAGTGGAAATATCAGCTTGATGAAGATGTGTAGGCTGGTGTTGACCAAGTTGATGAAGCACAAGCACAGTTGGATCTTTAACGCGCCCGTGGATGCTGCTGGTTTGGGGCTTCATGATTACCATCAGATAATCAAACAGCCTATGGATCTTGGTACGGTGAAATCGAATTTCGCGAAGAATTTTTACCATTCGCCATCTGATTTTGCTGCGCACGTGAGATTGACCTTCAACAATGCGATGTTGTATAATCCCAAGGGCGATGAAGTGTATGCCATTGCTGAGCTGCTCTTGGCTCGATTCGAGGAGTTGTTTCGACCTATAGGCGAGAAGCTTGATGATGGTGATCATAAAGAACAGATTGTTCCTGTTGATGAATTACAGGGGAGTTCTTGGAATCACACTCCAACTCCAGAAAGACCAAAGAAGCCTAAAAGCAACCCAATGCCTCGAATGTCGAAGAAACACGAGCGAATGCAGAACCCTTCTAGTTCATCAAACCCCCCACCAGCACCGAACCCACCAACAGTGCAGTCCCCAGTGCGGACTGCATCCCCGGTGCAAGCTCCTTCCGTGAAGCCATCAATGCCCAAAGTAAATCCGGGAAAGCTGCCGAAACCCAAGGCGAAGGATCCCAACAAGAGAGAGATGAGTATGGAGGAAAAGCACAAGCTGGGAGTTGGGTTGCAAAGTTTGCCTCCTGAAAAGATGCCACAGTTGGTGCAGATTATAAGGAAGAGGAATGAGCATTTGGCGCAAGAAGGTGATGAAATTGAGCTCGACATTGAAGCTCTAGACACGGAAACACTTTGGGAGCTTGATCGGTTTGTGACGAATTGGAAGAAGATGGTGAGCAAGACTAAGAGGCAAGCTCTAATGGGGAACAATTTAGGACCAGCCACAGCTACAGATAAAGCTGATATGGTAAACTCATATTCACATTGCTTGAATTTTCAATTTCATAATCAGTATCAGTAGTAGTTTTTCTGATGATCCTCCTGTTAATTGCAGCTTCCAGTGAATGAGAAAATTGAATCGGTAAAGAAGTCGAAGAAAGGGGATGCCATAGAAGAAGATGTAGACATTGGTGACGAGATGCCCATGAGCAGTTTTCCCCCTGTGGAAATTGAGAAGGATGATGGTGTTCATGATCATGGTCATGCCACCAGCAGTTCTAGCAGTTCCAGCAGCTCGAGTAGCGATTCGTCCTCGTCAAGTGGTATGGAACTTGCATTTGAACTCCCTGCAATCGATTTCTTGAGGGTGTGATGTTGTAACTGAAATTGTTGGTAGAATGCCTAACATTGTGAGGTTTCTTTGCAGACTCTGATTCGAGAAGTTCTTCTGGGAGTGATTCAGATGCAGATGAGGCACAATCGCGGGGCCTTGAATCGAAGGAATTTGCAAACACTTGATGAGCAATGGATTTAGAAAAAACCGCGTCTGAATTTGTTCCCTGCGGAGGGCTTCAATGGTGAATTGGTCACTAATGAGGTATAAATTGCTTGCTACAACACTGGCCAATTCTTGATGATGCTTGCATAGGCAATGTGCTGAATTGTGTGTGAACTGGCTGTGTGTCTGTGCAGGGTGTTCGTGAAATGTTTTCTAGATTTCTGGTGGTTGTGGCTAGGTTGGAAAAAGAGGAATTGGTGAAATTGGCAGATGATGGGTTTGTTGTTGCAATGCAAAGGTGATCCTAAGGAAAGAGGAATGAGAGAGGAGGCCCGAAGGGTAGTAGTTGTTGGTCAGTTATGGTGTGTGGAGAAATGTTGTTGAAGGAGATGCAAGTAAGGGTTAGTTATGGTCCCCAATTTAGGAAATAGAGAAATGTAGAGAGAGTTGAGTTACTTCTGTACAGATTACAAAATTAATAGATGATTTTCTTCTCCAGAGCTTTTGCAAATTCAATTCTTATTTGTCTTCTGTCACCAAGTGCGGTCTTCGAGCATAGCCAGAAATTGAAGAGCACAATGACATCTTGTTCTTACTCTCTTGCAAAAGACTGAAAGTAGCTTGCTCTAAACTCGTTTGATTCCCTGGAAAAGCATTTTCTTAAGCATTTCTAACCTATTGTTGAAAAGTATACGCACCACAGAACAAGCATGTGGGGGCACAGGGGTGCCAGACATGATTTGGGTGGAGAGAGAGAGGAAGCAATCAAACATGTGAATTTATTGGACTTTTTGAAGGAAAAGGTTGATCATTCTTCTCATGTGCTCTTTCATCATATAAAAAATCTATAATGTCAAAATGTCATCCAATGCCTCCCTACTTTTCTATCAAACAAGGATCAAAGCTATAAACTGATTCATACAGTTGACGCCACCAGTCACCATTGAGAATCAACCTGGCCTGGTAAACCAAGAGAGGCTAAAGTCATATTTTGTGGGGACAATAACTGCTTTGTCCATGTGCTGAATTTCCAATTAGGGTTAGAGAGGGATCAAATGTTGCTTGCTGCAGCTTCTCTCACAAACTTGAATTGAAGGGTCAAATAAATCTTTTTTTGGAATGCTGGGTTATGGTTTATTCAAATTGACAATAGAAGAGGAAGGATTTATTTAATGCAGGCAATGGTAGTTGTTAATATACCCATTTCATCCTATTTCTTCATCCTTTTTGGTTGGTGAGAGTTTGAAATCATTTAATTTAAAATAAGAAAACCTAACTCATTGCTCTCCACATGCAAGTAAAAGGAATCCTATATTTAGTTCAACAGAGGCCAGGTTGTGTCACTATGGGGCCAACTCTTGGTGTAACTTCACCTCCAAGTGTATTAAAAAAAAAGGAAAATAATAAGAAAATGATTGCAAATGTCTTTGATGCATCAAAGATCAACAACTTAGAACAATCTTTAATCCTTCACTCACATGGTAAATGAAAATAGTGAAAATGATTCCAAATATCTTTGATTCACTTTAGATCCTTCCGTCTTATTGGAAATGAACTCATACTATTTCCAACCCTTCCATTTGCAAAACTTTGTTTAAAGGCTTTCCATTGTTACATTCAGAGCTGCTCAGATGAGGCTTTGAATACTTTGAATTCAATGAAATAAAATTGCACATCAATACAATTTTTAACCATTTAACTTATAAACAGAGTTGGATATTTTTTAATCATTGGCTTGAGTTCATGTTTCAGTCACATCCCCAATTCATTTATAGATGTCACTAATTGATCTTGATGCCTAACCTAGATGTCTCTCACATCCTATAAAATAGATTTAAGTAATAATTTTAGGGCACATTTTTTTTTGTACAACCTTATCCTTCAGTTTTCAAATTTTGTGAAATGTTGGTATACAAGCTTTTAGAAGGCAAGTGCTTCCATATTGGGGATGTTCAGTGTGTCAAAGGCGGCTCAAATATTTGCCTTTCTGCAGTTGGCAGTTGGAGACCACCAAAATGATTCATACACATGAAGTGCTTAGTTTGGGACTCAGAACCAGGAGTGGTAAATTTCAAAAAGGAAAAATAATAATAAAAAATAAATAAATAAATTGTTTGGTTCACCAATAAAAGTCTACTATGAAATGCACTAGAAAACTACATATCACATAAATCACAACACAAAAATCTGGCATCTCCACAAGCAAAAGCACAAAAAGGGCAATACAAAAGAGTTAAGTTGCTGTTGCATTGTTCTGAATCATGGAACTGCACTGAAAATCCCAAGTGACTTTACTTACTGGCGCGCATTTCAGCCGTAAATTTGTGGAATATAAACCAATGTTGATCTACAATGTCGATCTTGAGGACAAGCAAACCTAACCAAGATGTCTCTTACATCCTATAAAAATCGAAAGAGACAATAAGAACTCTCTCTATTGTGCCTCTCAATCAATCTAAATAGTATAAAGAAGCTGCTAATGGGATTATGTGCAGATCAAGTATGAGTTTAGCATCAAATCCTACATGTGGATAACTTTTGTAGAATAATCATTCTTACACCAAGTTAATCCGGACTTCAAACACAAATATTTGAAATTGCCTAATATACATTTTATGATAGTTAAAGGTTAACAATTCGTATCAAAAGGATATAATAAAAGAAAAGGAAGCACATGAGAATAGAACAATCCAAAAGTTTACCATGATCAAAACTCTTCCAGTATGAAGAACCACCATGACACAGAAGTAAAACTAGAGACTAGGGGGTACAACTTACAAAAATTTCACCAACAAAGAATTCTTAAAAAAACTGAAAGCTTCTTCCAAGGTCACAGAATAGGATCTGCTGCAGCCACCAGAAAGTATGCCACCATAAGAATGCTGTTTGAAATTTCCGATTGAGAATTCAGAAACCCTTACTGGTATCTCGTTATCCTCTACTTGTAATTGGTGTCAAAAATTGAAAGGCATTTCAAAATTTAAACAGATAAAATTACCGCCTTTGTTAAGCTTTCCAGCAAATTTATCCTGCATCTTCAATGTTCCAATTTCTTCAGAGCAAGAAATTGCTCACCAAGTTGAGATTCAAAAGCAGCATGAGCATTCAAATCTAAAACTTTAAAAAATGATGCAGCCAAGTTAAGGGTTGTTAAATTCTGGAAGACGCTGCCACAAAACTTGCGCATTTCAGCCCGTCTAGACTGTTTTTCGGGCAAATTTGTCACCAACACTTTTATCAAATGAGAGAGTTTTGAAAGATGGCTTTTCAAAATTTTCTTTGATGCAGTGAGGCCATTCTTGTCAGTGCTAACAGAAACCAGCGCATTCAATACTTCAATCATCAGCTCAAGTACTTCAACTCGCCAGAAATCCAATTTTGAAATGGTACATTTCTCCAAAAGGGATTCAAGGACCCTGCCACAGAACTTGCGCACTTCAGCCCGTCTAGACTGCTTTTCGGGCCTATTTGTCACCAACTCTTTTATCAGATGAGAGAGTTTTGGAAGATGGCTTTTCAAAATTTTCTTTGATGCAGTGTGGCCACACTCATCAGTGCTAACAGAAACCAGCGACTTCCATATTTCAATCACCAGGTCAAGTGCTTCAATTCGCCGGAAATCCGATTTTGAAATGGTACATTTCTCCAAAAGGAATTCAAAGAGATGATGCCCAATCCACGGCCTTCTTCTAAATATTTCTTTCAAAAATTCTGATTTCACTTGAGACTTTTTACTATCAAAATAGGCTACCAAAACACCCCGGAATATATCAAAAATCCGCTGCAGGTCAGACTCTGGAAAATTTGTTGCATCAATGATTTTGAGAATCCAAAAAGTTGAATTTTGAGCAAGGGATATAATCATTTTGTGCCGATTCCAGGAGGCTGACTGCTTTTTCTTTGATGGATTGGCAGCAGATTTCTTTTTCTTGAAGGGCTTTGATGCCAACTTCATATTCTTTTCCAACAGAGATTCAAGAATAGATAGTTGCACGGCTTCACCTTTTGGATAATCCTTTGCTTTAAATATTTTCTTTTGCAGAATTCCCCATATACGCTGACCAAGCTGCTCGCTCCCTTCTGCAGTATGTGGGTTAACAAATGCCTGGGCCAGGTTCGAGTACACCTTCAACACCTGGGGCTTACCTGTAGCAAGAGAGAAGTAGAATTAATGATTCATCTATGAAATATAAGTATCTTGAGAAAACATACCAACATTTCAATAACTAACCTCTAGAAATACTTATCAAACTGAATATTAATAGTAATAACTAATAACCTTATGAAACTGATACGGGCTGAAAAAGACAAAAGCTGGCATTCAAACATCTAGACCGAGGTCCACTAAACCTCGTCCTGACAAGTGAATTTCAGTAAGATTTAACTCATCAAATGATCGTATAACTATAAATTCTGTTACAGCAATAATGCTGCTTCGAACGCTGCATACACACTAAACATCACACTGGTACCTATATTATAAAATGGCTCCTTAAAAGACTCCAACAGAATAAATAAATGAGAGTGTAGGATTTAACACCTTAGCTCTAGCTGGAACTTTTTTCATGCTTATTGAACTGATTTCCAAATACTCACTTAAACAGCCTAAACCTAGATTTGTCAACAAAGACTTGCCTGGATTCTCATGTAGGTAAATCTCCAGCAGAGAGAGCACCCGAAGTTTGAAGAGCACAAGCTGCGAATGAGCAGTTTCACCTCCAACCTGGTTCTTACGCTCTTTGAAAATTCGTGCAAGATAAGAATCCATCCGGAACATGGCCTCATCATCCATACCTCCATCAGAATCATCAGAAGCTTCAGGAAGTTCATTACCAATAGCCTTCTTTCCAACTACTGCCTCGGAGTCATCTGTCTGCTCCTCACTTTCAACAGTTTCACCAACCTCAGCTTCATCAGATTCCTCAGCTTCATCAGATTCCTCAGCTTCTTCAATACCGAGAAGATCATCATCATCATCATCATCATTGTCTTCACTATCTGTATCCTGACGTCTAGCTGGTTTCAGATCTTTCTTTATTACCCTCAACATCCGAAGCAGTCCGTCATCCGTAACATCAGTACAGAAATACTTGAAAACCTACAAAGCAATTATAGATCTTTAGTCATTGATTATTGCCTTGGTGTAAATGTAGACAAACCACAGATATAAATTTTTAAACAGGCATTGTAGCAATTAAGATAATGAAAATGATGAATTTAGAACATGTCCTAATTGGAACACCCTTCTTCCACAAATCTTAACATTTTGATCGACTGAACCGGCGCCCTACATGATACCAGACAATAACTTATAAAACAGGCACTCAACTAAATAAAACATAAACACGGCAGTTGATTCTTAATATAACCAGTCAAATGAGTAACAGATGCTAGCTTGAGGGTGTCTCTTGACACCTCTTTGTGGGGTATGCAGGTTGGGAATCCTGTTTTGACACATGTATGTAGAACTTCTCAAAAACAAACAGTGATAACAAAACTTGGTGTTCTGGCATTTACCTGCTCAATAGCAGAACGCATTGGAGCAGACGACTGTGGGAGCAATGAAAGTAATGTATCCACAAGGACATCCAGTAACTCAGGCGTTCCATCACCATCTGGTTCATCTTCTCCAGAGGAGTCAAGAAGATCAGGAGTAGCAAAGGCTTTCTTACAGCAAATAATAAGTTCAGAGGCAGCTTCTGAGAATTCCCCCGGTCTAAGTAAAACTTGCAGCAGCAACTGGATAAGCAAGTACCTCAGAGCATGCAATTTATTTACATCAGTGCTGAGCCCACAATTCTTTTCCTGCAATTGCCATAAAAGTAAAGAAACTATAAATTGATTTACTTAAACAGCATGGAAATTGACAAGCAAAAGCTTTTTAAGGTACACACAAGAACAGGTTCTCATGTACAAAAACTTGAATCCTAGTCACACATTTAGATGGATCTGCAGAAGAGATTGTAAATTTAAACAACTAATGACAACAGCTTCTTATGAAGATCAAAATATGCTCAAGGATATCTTACGATGACACAACATTAAAGGCTGGACGTCATAATTTTATGGGTTAATTTCACCAACACCCCCTCAAGTTTGGCCATATATCACATTGAAACACCTTTCAAAAATTACTATCACTCATATTACAAACGTTTGGTCCGTTTTTCACTCACTCCCCAAAAGTTACTTTTCATTTGTGTCCGACCACTTTTTAACTATAAAAAGACATTATAACCCCTTTAACTTTGTCAAAATCCCACTTAATCCTAAAGAATTGTTTAAAAGACCAAAATACCCATACCTTTTACCAAATTGATTCATCCTACCATCCAAAAGATTTAAAAATATATATATATAGATTTTATACATTCAAATTCATGGCCTTCCCAGCCACCAAACCAAGAGAAAGTCTATAATATAATTCCTCCGGTACGGGTTAATCAATCATCTTATTTAATAATTTAAAACTTTACTTTGATCAAAATTTTTGAACACCACCACAAATGAAGTAAATTACTATCTTTGACATCTCATGGGAGAGAGAAATTGGTGATACGTACAAGGATGTCTCCTACCTTTGTCGACACATTTTAAAATATCACTAAACATCACACACGAACGACTAATTGTTGCACTGAATCTAATATACATATGTACAATAAGCAACTGAGTATTCAACTTCTTCCCTAGCCAAAGAACTTAGTGACCATTCAATTCAAATATATATATATATATATATATATATATATATTATAAAATATTTCAGAAATTTAATATAGCATTGATCGGTCAAACTCCCAAACCGTTGTACTAGTGAAACCCCCAATTAATTCTTTCATTCTTCTTTTCTTTTTCAAACTTTATTTATCTCATATATAGATAGTACATTTAATTGAAACTTAATCTCAATGTCCACCTGGTGCATCACCAATCTCAACAAAATAGTGCAGCTTGTTAGTTACCTTAGAGATAACCCTTTTGGCTACTGTGTAACTAACCATGAACAATGCAAAATTAATGGCATCTCTAACAAGTAGTAACATAAATTTCATGTTAAATTCATTAAAAGATTGACAAAGAAAGGGGAGAAATGTGATGCTTCTTTTGCTTTTCCGGCCACCTTGAATATTTCATTCGTTCTTTTTTCTTTCTTTAGGTGGGAGTAATGAGGGGGTAAAATAGCCATTTTAGTTAGTTGATACTGTGGAATAAATGGTATTAAAAAATTAGGGGCAAATTTGTCTTTTGGCATGATTTTAACGGTATCAGTGATGGGAAAGTATAATTGGACCCAAGTGATAGTAATTTTCGAAAGATGTTTCAGTGTGACATTCGGCCAATCCTGAGGGGGTGTCATTGAAATTAACCCTAATTTTATTTGCTAAACGATTTAGGAAAAATAGAATACTCAATTTATCAGACTACTGATATTCAAGATGGACCAACCCCCTGATCCAATATTTTCTTCCTTTTCTCAAACCAAATAAACAAAAAGGAGGGAAGAAAAGAAGTAAAGCCCATACGAGAGGGGCCTGTCAGCGTCATTGACTATCCGCGTGCACAAAACAATTAAGAACTTAAAATAAATAAAGAAATGAAGTACCTCTCGAGATAGTTGGGTTTCCATGGCTTGCAATTTTTTGAATGCCTTTTCGTCCTCATTGCTCAAAGCCCTAAAGAGTGACACTGACGGAATGTTGCATAATGTACTTAGAAATCGCATGAAATAAGACCCAAGATCTTTTGTGTCAAGGCCACTTGCCTCCCCATGAGGTCCCTCTCCTTTTTGAGCATGGTGTGGGACATAACAATTTGCTAGCAACAATTGGAGCTGCTCTATACACATCCTGCAAAGAGCACTTGAGGTGGCCGCTTTTGGCCATCTAAACTTCTCTTGCAATTCAAAAGATGTCACTTCAGTGCCAAGAGATGAAGAGAATAGACCCTGAACAGCTAAAAACTTCAAAACTTCTTTTTGCAGCCGAAACTTTGCTTCAGGATGTAGATGCAAATGCTTCAAAACACTAGGGAGAGAATCTACAACCCAACTTTTCAAAAAATCTGAAGTTCCTAGTGTCCCAACAGAATCCTTATAGTCTATTGAACCTATCTCTGAGTTATCATCTGTTGTTTGACTCTGATCAGAAGGTTCCTCTGAAATCTGACTTTCATCCAGAAACATATTCATTAGATTCTGAATAAACAACATGCACCCAGATTCAGTTTTAAATTCTGCCATCAAATCTTTAACTGTTTTTGTACGAGTGATGGAATCAAATTTCCCACTGTGCTTCTGCAAGGCCACAATAACAGCTACTCTTCTAACATCATCATACTTGACCCAGTCTGACAATTCTTTTAGAAAATATTGTGCTACTTTGTACAGCCAAGAGTCATTTGTCGAAAGTATATCCATCAGACACTGAACAAGTCTGTGAGACAGAACAATCGGGACACAAGATGCAGGCAGCCTTGGTAGGAGAAGAAGCAGAACATCAAATGCCAAGTGCTTACGATCATGGGATGACAGAAGAAGAGCTCCTTCAACAATAACTTCACAGAAGGATCGAAGGTTTTTCTCAATATCTTCTTCAGAGGAGCTATATTTCCGATTCTTTTTGTGCTTAATGGAATTTAAACTTGCAGCTGATTCAACATCTTGTAAAATTATATCGGGCAAGAGAATATTTACTAAAATAGGCCAGACACTATGAACTCGAGGCTGACAGAAGGTGGACTCCTGCAAAAGTTACCAAAAATACAAGATTAAAATTGTTTCTTTGTCCATAGAAATTTATGTTACAGAAAGATTAATCTTAAAATCACCTTTAAGCAATTTGCAAGGGAGGACAGATGGCCAGCTGCAAAAATTGCACTACGGTTATATGGACATGGAAGAAGCTTTCCAAATATTTTGCAGTCAACAGAAATTTTTTCTTGCATTTTAAGAGCTAGAAGCAATGCATCGGGATTTCCGACATCAGTGGCTCCTTCAAACCAGTCCTGAAGCCCTGGAGCTTCAAGAACTTGATTCAGCAAAGCTTCAGCAGGTAACTGCAGGACAATAAGAAATGTCACTCCTTTACAGGGACAGAGATGCGAAGGAATCTAACAAAATGCATTGCCCACATTGACATCAAATACATGAAAGTAAGAATAATAGAAGGAAATGTAACTAAAAGAAGAATGAAGTGGCAAAGATTGAAAACCAGTCAGTCGATTCAGTTACTTCAACAACCAAGTAGGAACACTGGAGCACATAAAGCCCCACAGGCCTGTTCCCTGAGAAGTGCATTGAGAGAGGAAATCCACAAGCAACGGGGGGCGGGGGAAGGGGAAGGGGAAGGGGAAGAGGGGGGGAGAAGAGGAGGGGGGCGGGTGTGGAGAGAGCAAACAGATCAGGTGGCAGTGGTCATTTATCCACCTACTCAATCTGAATAGCAAGGTTAAAAAATAAACAAGATAAAATAATTAGGATGGAAGGGTGACTACTGTATGATAGTATAACAGAAAAAGTGCTTGACGCACAAAGAAACAGGATGTGTTTAAGAAGTGGCCTTCAAAGCTACGATGCATCGAAAAGGATTACCAAAAGACATTTGACAAGGAAGACTTGCCAACATAGCAAATTCATGTATGTATAACACATAACAACAACAACAAAGCAGCCTTTTTCCCAACTACTTGGGGTCGACTACATGAATCCTATGTTTCCATTCTCCTCTATCTATGATCATAGACTCAGTCAAAGTTCAAACCACATGGTCATATCCTTCTTTACTGACTCTACCCATGTTGATTTGGTCTTCCTCTTCCCCTAGTATTACCCTCAATGTGGACTTTATCACTCTTCCTAGCTGACGCATTTAAAGGTCTTCTTTGCAAATGTTCAAACCATCTTAACCAATTTTCTATCTTATCTCCAATTTATCCTTTCTAGTCTTACCTCAAATCCATCCCAACATTCGCATTTCCGCCACAATGTATGTATAATGCATGTGAGCATGTTTGTATTTATGCCCAATTCATAAAGTATTTCCAGTTATGTTGGGTGAATGGTGTACCAGGAAGTTGGTGTGCCCAATGATAATCAGCATGACATTTAAAATGCTTAATGATGCAAGGGAAAGGGCATACCAGACTATTATAAACTATGTTATGTAGACAGATGGAGATGGACACTAACACAAACTAACACATTAATTAACGTCAACAAATAAATGCACCAACAAACTATGGAACCCAAAGCCAACATATGCTGACCTAAAAAATACAACTATAAACACATTTCACCATGTCACTTGTAAATTACAACCTAGAGGATGAAACGCATAGAGATATTTTATCAGCTTGAAGCAACCCAGTAACTCATTTTGCATCATGCAATGTGATGTAAAAATAAAATACAGCGTGTATTTTGAGCATGCGTGTGAAATTTATACGCCACTGCGAAGTAAACCAGTAAGAGAATAAAAACTGAAAGTAACACTATTGTAATCAGCATGAAGTGTACACGTTATCAGTTGCAGAGCCAGAAATCTACTTGAGTGGGGGCAAACATTGACAATAATATGATAAGAAATTTTGAACCAAAAAAATAAAAAATAAATAAATAGTAAAGGACGGGTCTTTTTTCATTTTGATGCTTAAAAATTTTGTAGGATCCACTGAAGGAGAAAAAGAAATGGGTTTTTTGAATTTTGAAATTTTTGTTGGACAAATAGGTTAGAAAATGAGGGGTCTTTTTAATTTTAACATTTTTTAAGGCCTCTTCTGAATTTTTTTAGAAGTTCAGCGGGGGCAATTTAAGAATTATCAAAATTTGTATATAAAAAGTATAAATAACTAAAAATTTCATTGGGGGCAACTGCCCCCGTTGGTCCCAATGTGGCTACGCCACTGCACATTATCCAGACGACAAAAATCACGGACTACCCATTGATATTATGTCATATTCATTATACCATAGATATGTTAAACCTTTGACAAGGTACCACTAGTCCAGGACAAGATTGTAAAAAACCTACAATGATTCAGTCATGTTAAAAAAATAAAAATAACAAGGAAAAACATAAAGGACTAACGAATACAACAATAACAAGTTATATGCTACAAGTTAGGGGCACTACTTGGGGACAAAGAAGTGAAAAAAGGAAATCAGCTGAGGGAGGGAGGTAGATATGTTCATGAAAATTACGTAAGATCCTACACATAAGCAAGTGATTTATCCGTAGCAACATCATAAGTAGTGCATGAAATCCAATTTTGGCAATAATGAAACAACCAACCAAAATAATCCGAAATAAACATTCTTGATACGAAAAAATTGTAAAGAAAGTGTATAAAGGAAGAACCTAAACAATGATTCCTTATTTTACAACATGTAGTATTATTTAGCTAATTTATGAAACAGAAATGTTGAAAAGTTCTCATTTTTAGATCGAATACCTTGTGTTGCATATTTTAGTTTCTATTACGCTATATCTAATATGAATTTCCATCATAATTCATACACATCCCTTAATTTTTCCAAGCGCTCGACTTTCATTGCATGCCATTCGGCGCTTAGACTCCCAAAGAACTTGGATCCTTGGTGCGCCTTGAGCCTTAAATAATCTTATATTTCATGTGTATTACAAAGACACATAATGAAAAATCAATATGAAGAACACAACACAGGAGGAGTTATGTCCTCTTTTATTTGTATGCTTTGGTTGCTTAATAAAAGTTTGCTTAGGACAAAAAAAAAAAACACTGCAGGAGTTGATCGAGACAGTTGTAGGTTCATAGCGACCAATCAACTAAAGATGCTGGATTTCTGTAGTAATATATTAGTAACAGAACAACGGAAATCGAGCGAGAGAGTGAATAATAGTAAAATCCATTTCTTTTCTAGACAAAAAAGTAGACCAAAAATATATCTATATATACCATATATATAGGCGTGTATACAGCTAATGCAATATACAAAAGCAAAACCACAAGGTTCAATAAATCTAATATTTTAACTTAATGATGGAATTCAAAAAACAATAATAATAAATGACTAAATGATTGACTGTATGATAGTATAATTGCATTATGAACTTACAAAGATGTGTTAAAGAGAAAACCTAAATGATTTGGGGTGTGATACTTGAATTGAGCTTTGGATCAACCATTAGTGCTGATCATTATATTACTAACAGCACTTAATACAACATTAGAGTAAATACATGATACATCATATAAGCAGAACAAATTAATCAACTATAAAATCTCTAAATTACCCCAGGCATTTTCAAGCCATTGCATAATCCTTTGAGAAGATCTCAACGGCACAATTAGTTCTTTTATCAGGTCACCATACCTTTTCAACCAGGTCCAAAATAATTGAGACAGCAGGCTCTTGCAAGTACCGCTTCTTGGCAGCAAGGGAGATCAGAGAACTGGTAAACTCCTTGATGCAAGAAGATTGTTCATCAGAAACCCACTCTTTTGTTAGCCTCCCTGATCGTGCAAGAGCTCCATATGCAAACAAGCGACCTAAAAGAAAGTCCCTCACTTCCTGCAATTCCATAAAGAACAAGTTACAAAATTTCACATAATGATACTGGCTTCCAGACAAAAACACATTTCAATAATGAAGCAAGCCAACTCCTGCCCACCTGACCCTTCATAGAAGAAGAGACCTCCAACGAATTAACTATTACTTTCAGCAAGGACTCTGTTTTGATGCTAGGAATTGCACCAATTAAAATAGTCAAACCCAATGCAAACCCTTGTCTTGCACACTGTAAAAGAAATACAAGATTTAACATACCCCACAAGTTAGCGAACAGAGTTGCTTTTGTGGAAATTTAGGCACATTCAAACAAATAATAATAGCAACAACATGCAACATACCATCACTCGAATGTCCAGTATCTTCACCGAGTGTAAATGTTATAATTAGACATTCTACTATAGCAATCACAAGAGACATAAGGCGCAGCAGAACTTATTTGCTAGGCTTATCAATCTGAGTGCCGTAATTTTATAACCCAAAAAACAAGAATGATGGAATATCTTTTGATTTGGGAGGCTGTATTCAAGATTAGCAAGGATGTTTTACCTTTTTTCCTTTTTTGGGTGCTTAAAAGAATTCCAAGAAATTCACTCAATCTTAAATAATTAAATCAATTTTAACCAGTCAAGCAGGGTAAAACAGATATATACATGCAACCGTATCACTCCAAAAACAATTGACAATAACATCCATATATATGATGAAGAAGATTTACTCCATCTACAAATCATGAAGGAGGAGACATTGAAAAGTGGCCAATTGAATTTCCTTTTTTTTTTATAAATAAAAAAGTGCCCAATTAACTTTCATGGAGCGAAGATAATGTCAATATAACTATCAGACTATTGATCGATTAAAACCTACATGGTCTTTGCACCTCAAATTACTCATTAGTCATTTCCACTGTATAATCAAAATTGACCATTTGATTTGGAGGATGTACATAAACCCTATCAAAATCACTCACTTTAGAAGTGACCTTAAATAAAGAAATAAGAGAATCCGATGGGTATAAAGGATGATGTTCATGCATTATTATTATTATTATTTGTCCCCTTTCATTGCCTTTACATGTTCTCCATTGATAGAAATGAGGACAACAAAGTTTGAGAATGTTAACAAAAAGAATAGGAAAGAACAAAGGAAAAAGTTGTATGAGAAATATGAACCTAATTACTGAACACACCTCTCTTGGTGAAGAAACACCACGGATAAGCCTCCGAACAGCATATCTCAAAGAAGGTGCACAATTATCCAAGCCGTCGTCCTTTTTAGCTTCCATTTTCAACTCACCCTCGGCTAGTTCCTTATTCTCAAGCTTATCATATGCTATTTGAACTTCCTGCAAATCAGATACCAATGCTTCAGCTGCTGCTTCTCTTATAGTACCATCAGCCGATGCAAGTTCATGAAAAACACTGAGACGGAACTCTGGCAAACCACTAGTCGGCAAAGTTGCCTTAGGCACCCGAGTTTCCTCAACTTTCAGTTCCAGACCCACTGGTTTTGGCTTTGATTCCGGATTATCAGAAACAGAACCCACTGGTTTTGGCTTTGATTCCAGATTATCAGAAACAGAATGGTGTCTCTCTTTGTCTAATGCTTTTCTTTTCTTCTTTCTCTCCATTGGTTTAATAGAATGAGGAGTTGTAGAAGGGCCAGCAGACCCATCTGTGACTTCTCCTTTTCTCTTCTCTTTTTTCATTTTCTTCTTCAAAGGCTCTGAAACAATTTTATCAGTGCTTATATCCAACTGATTCTCTACTTCCTCTACAGCATTGGGCCCCCTTTTCTTACTACCCATTTGTGCTAAATAAGAAATCTAGTTGACAGCTTCTGTAGAGTTGAAAAAAATAATACATTAAAATCTACTATCAAACACACAAAACCCATAGCTAAAATTAGAATAACATATAAAAATAAACCAAAGTAATATGACTAACAAAACCAAATGTATCAATCTTACAATTTAGACTATTCATCAAGCACCATAATGCCACACACAGAGCAACTAACTAACATAATCAAACCAAAAATTTAAGTAAAATAAATAATGCGTATTTAAGGGGCAATAAAACCAATAGCTATTGCTTAATCCTCTGTTTGGTTGTGGAGAAACTGAAGAGAGGAAAATTAAGAACTGAAAAGAAAAGGAAAAAAAAAAAGACATTATTTGGATTGAAAACAAGAACAAACTGAATCGTATGTAGGTTATTTCAGTGTAGCTCAGTCAAGTGTTGAGCCCTTTCTCCCTCTTACAAGAATTTGCACCACAATTTCTGCAATCCTCGAATTAGGGCTCCTCCGTGATTGTGCAGGTGCAAGACGTATCCTCTCAAGCTGGAACCTTTCATCCTCTTGCTGCAGACCGCCTCCAAGGCCACCGGATTGAAGTCTCAGACCACCAGTGGTTGTAGTTACCGCTGGCTATGCTTCCGGAATTGATTGCATATATTCTGGTTTAATGTCTACACGTAGCACTTTTTTTTCATGGTCTGGGATTTATGGTGTTGAGCATTTTATAGAAACCAAAACAAAGAAGAGCATAAAATTCTATGTTTTCTTTTATTTTCCATTGGTTTTCTCAGCACCCAAACGCCAGATTAAGTGTAATGGTGATGCAATTGTGTGGACAGCAAACCCAGATGGTGAGTATTATCTAGATTCTGCGCGAGAAACTATTCGAGAGCATCCGCTGAAGGTTGAATGGGCTGGAAACTATACCCTCTACCCTTTTCACTAATCATACGCTAGTCACATCAAGCAATACAAAAAAAAAAAGAAAGAGATGAAGAAAGAGCTCACCTTAAAACCACAGAAATATAGAGAGAGAAACAGAGATCCTGCTGTTACTGGGGTTGATGTTATTTAGGGTTTTTAGTGAAGGTCTGAAGGCGCTTGGTTGCTCTCTTTCCCTATGAAGCCGTAGTAGCCGCCGTTAACAGGGATAGTAGGAAGAAGAATGGGTGTGTGTGATGCATTTTATAATTATTAGGTATTTTCAAAATATGCCCTAGTTATTTTGAAATTTTAATATTGTAACTAATAATGCTAGATATGTGTAGTTTTACCCTTGGTACGTGGTTTATTAGTTTGGTCCCTTGCTACATGAAAATTGTCTCACCCTTTCACCTACTTTTCACCACTTCTTCCCATTCCATCTTTTTTGGCTTTCGGGTTAGAATAAAAATATATACTTTTATTAATGAGCTGTCAAAAAAATTCCGAGTACAAAAATGGTTAAGTATTCTTATTATTATTATTATATATATATATATATATATATATAGAGAGGAAGGGAAGGATGGTATTTGAATGGTTTTTTTTTATTTATGAAACAACAAAAGTGAAATGGTTCAATTCCCATCCTCCTGAAGAAATTAATGGCTGCAACCGTGTGCCACGTCCCTTTGCTGACATGGCATCACATGCCAATAGATATGAGTCCTTTTTGCACGGTTGTATTAGGAATCATCATGTCATATTGTTCGTAAACCCAAACAAAAACAGTGGTCTTTTGTAGCCAAAAATTTCGTCTTTTCGCCAAAATCTAATACTCTCTTTCTTCAAATTTTAATTTCAAATTTGATTGCCTAATTTCGTAACTTCCTTTTTCTCTCAAAGCCATCATTCTCGTTCAGTCATCCTTACTCGTGGTTTCTGAACTTCACCGGCAACCTGTTCACCATCTTTCATACCTTTTTGGTTGCTTATCCGGTAAATGATTTTTGCACCATCTGTGGGGGTCAACCATCGGAAAAATATTGTATTTGAATGTTCCTTTCTTTTAAATGAGACCACTGAGTCATTCGTTTGGTTGTTTGAAATATTTTTGGAAGAAATGGGGAACACCAAAGACAATATTTATAGACCAATGTCAAGCAATGACAAATGCCATAAAGAAGGTTTTTCCTAATACTTGTCATCGCCTTTGTCCGGCACATTTAAAAAAATGTTACTCAAAGAATAGGAAGCTTGTATGCAAATAATGATTTTAAGGGTTTCTTTAATAAATGTTTACATTGTGAAAGCATGGATGACTTTGAATCTACTTGGAGTGACATGATATCAAGGTTTGATCTCGAAAACAATGCGTCGCTCAAGTCAACTAAGGGAAAAGTGGTGTCCGGCCTTTAGCATGGATACTTTCACTCTTCATGCAAAATCTACTAAAAGAAGTGAAAGCATGAATAATGTGTTGCATATGATATCAACTAAAACTATGACCTCAAGGGAATTTGTGCAACACTATGAAGAATAGTGTGGGAAAATACGTTTTGCTGAAAGTGATGAAGATTTTCGTTGCAAGCATGGCCAAGTGCAGCCAAAATTATTAGGTAGTAAAATTTTGACACATGCTACTAGTGTGTACACAATTACTACTTACTGTGAGATATATCTTTGTAATTGACATATTTCGGTAACAAAACAAGTCTTAGTCGAGTTGTACTTTCAGTTACTATATCAAACTCGACATCGACTGCGGAATTGGAAGTTTGTTCAGAAGAGGAAAGTACTGTTGATCATCGAAAATGAAAAAACAACACATTAGGACATCGTTTCCCACTTAGGGTATAATTATTTACATGGTATATGTTTAGAGTTACCAAAATACAGAAAATTCAAGTTCTAGTTGGATTCTGTTAAGTGGGAACCAGTACCCGAATTTGGGAACCGGTTCCAGAAGCTAAAGATTCAAAGAACTCTATTTTGTCCTTTGGGAACCAGTACCAAATGTGGGAACCAGTTCCAAGAGTCCTGATTACAATAGGTTTTCAGTTAACTTATTCTGTTTGATTCATTTTTTATCTAATTTTTCTTCCAAGTCCTATGTACGAAAATTCCTTTATTTTCAGAAGGAATAGGAATTTACAAATCTCTATATAAACCATGTCAGACACATAGGTTTATTAATGGCTTTTGTTCTACAAATTCATTATTCTTAAAAGCCTTAGGAAGATTATTTTTGCAAAAAATCAGAATTGATTTTTTTGTCATTTTTCTAGAACACATACACATAAACACATAGTGAGTTTAGAGTTGTGATGTTCAAATCCTGATCATCATCATACAGTTGCATCTACATCGATCAGACAAAAACAGATCTACTTCTACATCAAATTCAGACGATTGAAGAATAGAAGTAAAAGCGATCGCACTTTGAAAGGGTTGGAGTATTCGAGGAGTGTTGTCTAATCTACCTGCTACTCTTCTACAAATATCAAGCATAAACCTGAGGTTAAGTTGTTGTTGGATGGGGAGTCGTAAAGTCAAAGGATTGTCAGCAGTTGGTGTTTGGTAAAACGATAGGGTGTGAGCCAGAGTCACAGTTTAGTGTAATTTGTTTCAAGCATAGTGGATCGGTTTACTTTGGACTGCACAGTCCATGAGGTTTTTCTTATACAAACAGTTGACGTATTTTATCAACTGGGGTTTCCTCACTAAAATCCTGGTATCATCTCTAACTTTGCTTTATTTTATATTGCATGATATTGATTTATTAATTGCTAAAATAAAGAAAGTTGGAAAGATACAGATCTGTTTTAAAATAATTAAAATTTTCTAAGTATTTTTCGCTGCGGATGACTCACAATTACTATCTATTTGAAGAAGAGTTCATTTTCTAGTTTGAAAGTGTACTTGAAGCAACTTTGTAATGTTGATACACTTTATACTTATCGAGTATTCCGGGACTTCCATGGTAAACATTACATCATAGAGTTTTGACTATTCTAATTGTACTGTTGTTTGTTCTTGTCTGACGTTTGAGTCAACATGGTGATTATGTTGACATGCATTTAAAGTTCTTGATGCTTAGAATATCACCCAAATACCATCTCGTTATATTTTAGATAGATGGACTAAATGTGCAAAAGATAGAAACATAATCTTTGAGCTTGGTGGTCATCTATAAATAAGAAATCATCACTGACAGTAGAAAGAAATATCTTGGTTCAACAGTCATGTCGTGCTATGAATCACTTGGTTATGACAGATGAAGGAAAGAATGTGGCGAAAAAATATGTCCATATGATATGGGAGGAAGCTCAAAGACTTATAGAAAATAGCAATCCAAGTACAGAAAATGTTGATTGCAATCTAACCAAGGAGGGCTATGAATAGCTGGAGGAAATGTGTATATTTGATCATTCACGTGTGAGGGAAAATGGTTTAACAAATGCTCAAATAAAAAGCAATTTGGAAAGGAGGAAACGTAAGCAGCAAAAAGGTAAGAAATTGAAACTTGATCCCATTATGTGCATTCACTCTTATTGAGCAAAGATGTAATGACCCTCACTCTAACGGGACACAATATTGTCCGTTTTTTGCTAGGGTAGTTACAAAAGACATATAATATAATTGATTTTAATTATTCTTGCAAGAAAAAGAGGAGCAAAAATAGTAGAACGTTCACAGAACACTGTTAGTATGTCAAATGCTCCATTGGTCCCACCAAAGGGTCTTTGGCCTAATGGTATAACCTCTTTATCTTCAAAGAAGAGAGGAGGGGTTCAAGTCCGGGCGTGGGCAAAAAAGTATGTGTGTTTGCTTTATCATCCAAAAAAAAAAAAAAAAATGTTCCATTGGTCCCCTTTCAACCTCCGGTGAGTATAAATCATTACGGCCCGAGTGTTCATTGCAAGGTAATTTTATTTTTGCTCCATTAGTTCATAATGCAGTACTTTTTTTATTGTTTATTTTTTTTTGTTTTTTTTTTTTTTTTTTTTTTTTTTTTTTATGTTTCATAAGACTTAAGTTCAAATAGGAGTTTTAGCCGAGCTGGATATAGTTTCATTACATTAATGGAGTGCAGTCAACAAATACCACATGCTACTCAGGTATTGTGTTTTATAACTTATGAATTTCATTTTAGGTAATATGATACTAATTTGTTCTTACTTATGTTTCAACAAATAACATATATGTTTTTAATTCTCTTTTTTTAGTGATTAACCATATATATTTTTAATATGTTTCTAGGAGTCGTTTACAAATATTCAAGAGGATTTTAGTTCTGGACAATGAACAATGATGCTGACAATTGAAGAAAGACTAAACAAATTCTGTCATAATTGTCTAAAACTGTGTTTTTGGTGTTATGATGATGTTAATGTATTAGGATATCATCTTTGTAGAAATTAATTATCTAAGGGTGCTTCAAACCCTTATTTTTTGGTTGAATGGCTAGAATTCTAAAAGCGGGTTGTTGCACTTGCAATTTTAGTTAAATCCTTTACTTGTTTTAAATACTTATTTGTTTGCTGCACTTGCAATTTTACGTGGGATGGAGAATTCTTTTGTTATCTCTGGAATTTCTAGTTGAGATTGCTCAACTAATCTTGCTATGTATTATTTTCCAATAAACATCTGAAAGAAGATATGTTTGTCTTTTTCCAAAAAGATTGCAAGGAAGTCTAAACAGCTTAAACCTAGCAGTGATTCTGCTTTTGTTTCTGAAAGTAATACCAAAATCATTTATATTCCATTCCTTCACTGCCTTGAGCAAAAGATTGAGTTGCTGCATTTGTTTGATAATTTGTTAATACACAATTCGATTCTACTTCTGGTGTGTAACATTCACTTTCAGACTTCAATCGAGGGATTCAGCAAATTCATGAGAACTTCTGTTTCATCTGGGATCAATTCATACACTAAGAGAATTCTCATTACAACTTTAAAGATGAGTAATTAAATTGAATTATCAACTTCAAAGATGTTTGGATTCTGGTTTTCTCATCGAACTCAATATCAACCTTTGAATCTCGATATCAACTAGAAAATAGGTCATGAACAGTACAAGTTATAACCAACCAAAGATTATCACCACAATAAAAAAATAAAAAATAAAAACATGTTGATACCCCCCAATTGAATTTTCTCCTCGGCAGAAAAGGAAAATACAGATACAAATCCAGATTCCACATGTAAAAAAGCCAAGGTTTCCTATCACCACCAAAATAGCAGAACCACCACTACAAGGAATTTCCTCATTAGTGTTCAAAACTGTTAAAACACAATCCCAGAGTCTCACCACTTCATCAGATAATCATACCATCATAAACACAGATTTAAAAATAATAAATAAAACAATCAAATATTTCGGACTCTACATCACAACTTAAAAGATTATAACCATGTCACACAATCAACTTCATTAGTGAAATTGCGCTCTGCTAAAATAATTCACTTATCTGCCACAAAAGTGCTAAATCGCACAGGTATTACCTGACAAATAAGGAACCCTAGTACACCCAAATTCTAAAGATTTTAGATACAAAACTGCTTAAAACATTGTATGCTGGAATCAAAAGGAAAATAACAGCTTTACCTGATTACATCCTCAAATTGCCTCCCTACTTCTTCACCTCCTCATACTCTGCCTCGGGAGCTTGGTCACCGCCCTGAGAACCACCTCCAGAGGAGGAACCACCACTGGAACCCCCACCACCCCCTGACATGTGCTGCCCGATCTTTGAGACAGCCTTGTTTGCAGCATCAAGCTTCGATTTGATCTCTTCAATGTTATCAGTTTCTGTCACTTTCCTCAAATCGGCTATAGCAGACTGAATCTCCGACGCCACTTCACTTGGAATCTTGTCCCTGTACTCATTAAAGCTCTTCTCAATACTGTAGATTGTTGTGTCTGCAGTGTTTCTGAGATCAATGAGGGTCTTCCTTTCTTGATCCCTCTGGGCATGCATCTCGGCTTCCTTAACCATTTTCTCAATCTCATCTTCAGAGAGCCCTCCAGATGAACGTATAGTGATCTGTTGTTCCTTCCCAGTCGTCTTGTCCTTTGCAGAAACAGTGACGATACCATTGGCATCAATGTCAAATGCGACTTCTATCTGAGGCATGCCTCTAGGAGCAGGAGGAATGCCTACAAGCTCAAACTCACCAAGGAGTTTATTGTCAGATGCCATTTCTCGCTCACCTTGCAGTACTTTTATACCCACCTGAACTTGGTTGTCAGCTGCTGTTGAAAACACCTGAGATGATGAAAGAACCAATCAGTTATGCAAAAAAAAGAATATGATATCAATATATCATATTCATATCATGCTAAATGGTTAGTCCTAGACTCAAGATTAACACTGGCTAAGTTACTCATGCCGTTGAGATTGCACTGCCTATAAAAGTACCACTTCTCTTTCCCAATCTTTGCCAACTTTCTAGTTCATAATGCATGCCTCTAATCCCAACGCCCACAAAAATACATCCACAATTGTGTCACAGTCCACCACATTAGAAATTAACTTGTAATAAAATAAAATAAACTTGGGTATTGAGGACTCACTTGGCTCTTCTTTGTTGGAATGGTTGTGTTCCTATTGATCAATCTGGTGAAGATACCGCCCAATGTCTCAATACCAAGGGACAAAGGAGTGACATCAAGGAGAAGCAACTCCTTTACATCTCCTCGAAGAATGCCACCCTGAATTGCAGCTCCCATGGCAACTGCCTCATCAGGATTCACCCCTTTGCTTGGGCTCTTACCAAAGATTTCTGTAACTACTTCCTGCACTTTTGGCACACGGGTCATCCCTCCCACAAGAAGAACCTCATCCACATCCTTGGTTGATATGCCAGCATCCTTCAAACAGCTCTTGCATGGGCTCTTGGTCCTCTCAATCAAGTGGTTCACCAAACTCTCAAATTTCGATCTTGTCAGTGTGATATTCAAATGCTTTGCACCAGTCGCATCAGCTGTGATGAATGGGAGATTAATTTCTGTCTGCGTTGTTGAGGAGAGTTCTATCTTAGCTTTCTCAGCTGCTTCCCGAAGTCTCTGTAGAGCAAGTCTGTCTTTTGACAAATCAATCCCCTCAGTTCTCTTGAACTCATTCACCAAGTACTCCAACAGGGTATTGTCGAAGTCCTCTCCTCCCAAAAATGTATCCCCATTTGTTGCTTTCACCTAAATTAACAAGAAGGTGATAGTCAAAGATAACATAACTTCTTAGACTAAAATGACTTTTCATAACTCAAAAAAGGTACCATTAGAATGTAAAAGAACTTCTTAAACTAAAATAAATTTTCATACCTCAAAAACACCATTAGAAATCTCCAAGATGGAAACATCAAAAGTTCCACCCCCAAGATCAAAAACTGCTATGAGACCCTCCTTGTTGTTCATACCATATGAAAGCGCAGCAGCAGTAGGTTCATTAATGATTCTCTGCACATCGAGGCCTGAAATTCGCCCAGCATCCTTTGTAGCTTGCCTTTGAGCATCATTAAAATAAGCTGGAACAGTGATCACAGCTTTGGTGATTGTCTTGCCAAGGTAAGATTCAGCAGTTTCTTTCATTTTGACCAGAATGAAGGCTCCAATTTGGCTTGGAGAATATTGCTGCCCATTAGCTTCAACCCAAGCATCTCCATTGGGAGCCCTGACTATCTTGTATGGGACCATCTGCATTTCTTTCTGCGTCTGCGAATCATCAAACTTTCTGCCAATAAGACGCTTGGTGCCAAAAATCGTGTTGGTTGGATTGGTCACAGCTTGACGTTTAGCAGGAGTACCAACAAGGAGCTCTCCTTTCTGGTTAAAGGCAACCACTGATGGTGTGGTCCGAGAACCTTCAGAATTCTCAATCACTTTGGGATTCTACAGAAAATATCAAGAGTAGGGTTTTTAATAAAACATCATTTTTTTCCACCAATAAGGGATAAGCTTTTAGAATACAAAACTAAAATAAAAAATAAAAAATCTTACTTTGCCCTCCATGACTGCAACACAGGAGTTTGTAGTACCCAAGTCAATTCCAATAACATCATTACCAGCAGGCTTTGTGCTGTGTCATGAAGGCAAATTAGTGGAGTTAAAAAGAAAAGGATTATAAACACACAAAAGTTAATTAACTTGAGGTACCTAAATGGTCTGGCCAAACTGGCCCACTTGTGACCCAAATGCGAAGTAGCCCATGATGACTTAGCATTTCCAGTCAACTGCCAAAGCATCAGAAAAAATATAAAACAAAATAACCACTCTGTAAGCTTGTATTTGTATTAATATCAAGACTAGTAGTAGTATATGAATCAATAATCTTTTGGTGCATAAATGCTGCGAAAAATCACTCTCAACAACACTTAGAAATAGTGACAAAGAAGCCCAAAAATCAACACAGTCCAAAGTTCGACTGGCATGAGAAAAGTTGCACACATACTGATTTCTAATATACCTGCTGTTTCATCATCCCGCATGGATGGCGTAACTGCCATCTCACTAAATCCAGTTCAGAGAAAGAAAATGCAACTAAAAACAAGATATTTGACATGAAGGGACATCTATAATCCTTTAAAAATAAATATTTCAAGCCTGGCTGAGAATAACATTGATTAAACTAATACTTTTGCTGCAACTTTAATCACCCTACAACTACTAAATTCTTCACATAAAAATAAAATAAAATAAAATAAACAACACTTTGAAAAGAACACCTTAAAAGCATAAGAGAGAAAACGGTCCAAGCATTAAATATTTCAAAATTCTATTTGCAAAATCTCATCCCTAACTTTCAAAATGATTGATAAACAACATTGGATATGAATACGAGTTAAAGATCATAAAAAGAAAAATGATTCTGTTCAACACAGTATGACATTAGTTCCAGAAACATGTCACTATGAGCTCCCACGCCCTCATACTAAATTCTTCACATAAAAATAAAATAAAATAAACAACACTTTGAAAAGAACACTTTAAAAGCATAAGAGATAAATCGGTCCAAGCATTAAATATTTCAAAATTCTATTTGCAAAATCTCATCCCTAACTTTCAAAAATGATTGATAAACAACACTGGATATATGAAAACGAGTTAAAGATCATTAAAAAAAACGATTCTGTTTCACAGTATGACATTAGTTCCAGAAACATGTCACTATGAGCTCCCACACCTAAAGTCACCAACACAAAAATCAACTAAAATTATGTACAACCACAGATGCACACAACAAAACACATAAAATTGATTTATAGTCACAAACAAAACAGAACTCTACATCCTTCACGATCTAACACGTAATACTAGAAAAAATAAAAATAAAGAGAAAATAAATAGAGTCCCGAAATGTGTAAGCATAAGTGCATCAGTATCATATCTGATTCAACAAAAACAATATATATGTATAATCGTGTATCAACAACATATACAAACAGAACCCTAAATCCTAAACAAGAGATACGACGATTATCAAACAGAACCAGATATCAGACAACACTAAAAATGAAAACAAGTAACAAGCATACAAGGGTAATTAATTTATAATTTGTTTGGAAAGTGAGAAAAACCAAACTAATCCTTTAATCAATGTCTTCTAATAGAATAAAAACAATACAAAACACATAACCCTTTTTTCAGTCTCTAATCCTGTGATTTTCAGTGGGTTTCTCAGGAAACAAACATACAATTAATTTCATTAAACAACATAATCGCATCTACCATGCATAGAGTTAGAACCCCAAAACTAAAATGTTCATTTCCACAATAACAACAACAACGATGATCACAAGATCGGAGAATATGATACAAGGATTAGAAAATGAAATGTGACGTACGGATTTGAAGGTAGTGAAAGAAGCGGAACAGATGTCGCGTCGACGGATCGATCTGAGCAACACTGAGGTCGCCATTGGATTGATGGGTCGATTTGTTCTTGCGAGACGAGAATAGAGAGAAAATTTTGGGTTTGGGTTGAAGGGTTTAGGGTTTTTAGGAGGTGCTGATAAAAATGTGGAGGGTACGCGAAATGAGACCGTTGGATTGTTCTAGAGAAAGAGAGAAAGGGCGCCCACGTGGCGTTTTGGGTTTTCACCAGGTGAGAAGGTTCTAGAATTATCATGAATGTATCAAACTACGATCAAATGGTTACTAATCTTTTTTGTTGGTTTTTTTTTTTTTTTTTTTCAGGTACCAGAGCAATCCAACCACATGGACAGCGCTTGCAGAATTGTTTAAGAATCTAAGAAGCACTCATACAGACGTGGTACAATACCATACGATATCACAAATACATTTAAAAAAATTATTTCTTCTGTATCATATTAGTTGTTCAATTTAAATTTTTTAACTCACTGTCACTTTTTATTTTTGAATCATTTAAAGTCATTGAATGTCTATTTTGGTAACTTTGTCAAAGTTTTTAAAAAGGATAACTAACATGAGACGGTAATAATAATATAATATTATTATAAAAAAATAATAATAATTTTTACTGATTTGATTGTAAATGAAATCATTATTTTGGAGCTTAGAGCTAAATATTTGCTATTTTTGTTTTCTTAATTTTTTAATTAACTTATAATATATTTTAAATTGTATTGAATTTCATTCTTTTAAAATAATAAATCAAAACTACTCCGTCGCGTCTTGAAAGTGTCTAAAATGTGTCCATGTATTGTTTAAGAAAAAAAATTAAATATTTAGATTTCAGTACACTTCTAGCTGTCTCCAAGCTATGTTCACGTGTCTGAGTATTCGACACTGCTACAACACTCTTAGGTAAAATATCCGTGCTTTTTAGTTTAAAATTTATGTTTTGGACTCATGTAATATGATAATATGGAGATTGTGAAACATGTTATACTACAAATTATGTTTTAAATCCGTACAGGAAATTTGGTGGATAAAGACTCTCCTGAGGCGAAAACGTAAACTCAAGACGCAAAACAAAAATATATATATAAATAAATTTTTTATTTTTATTTTCTTTATTATTATTTTTTATAAAAATAATGGTGGCAGACCTCTTATAATAGGATAAAAGAAGAATAATTTTTGCCTCTAAGTGATATGTGTGCTGCATGATTTTTAGAAATCAAATCAAATAAAGAAAAGAAAATAATATTTGTTAATTAGCACATTTTAATTTGGGTTAAACTGACTTGAAATTGATTTAATCTATTACTATTACGGGTTCTCACATATGGTATGTATATGGTACCTCAATTTCAAATTAGAGTTTCGGTTCTCACATATTACTATTACGGGTTCTTAATAATATAAATTAAGAAAGGAAAATGACAGTAGTAAAATAAGGAAAGAGTTGGCCCGAGCAGAAGGCGCATTAAACGCATTAGCCTAGAGTTAGTATTCTTCACGGGTTTTGGTAGCACTAATAAGTTCTAAGATAAAACTCAAATCATCCGATTCCACGTGCACGTTCACAAGAAGGCTATGCCAAAGTCATCGAGTCTAGGGGCCAAGGAATACCCTAGTTCAAGGGCTTTCAAGTCTCACATGCTAAGTGAATGGGACACATCCGTTGACCAAGTGTAAGAATTGTGTAGTTGTGTATATAGGGGGCAAAATAGTCATCCGACATTCCCAAATTTTGACATTTTTGATTTATTTGTAATTAGGTCAAACTTTAGAAAAGATTATTGTAGTTTATCCTAATTTTCTCCCCAAACATAAAAAGAAGTGTTAACATCTTCTGTGTCTGCACATATTCTCTGTCTGCACATATGTAGGCGTAAGTTGATTCACAAGAATAATAAAGTTGTTAACTTCTTCTTTCCCGTCTGCATATATGTAGGTGTAAATAAGACTAGTAAAATTGTTAAACTTCTTCTTACCTATATATATATATATATATGTAGGTGTAGAAATTTGCCAAGTATAAAATCTCACCAATAAAAGCACTCAATGGAGATAAATAAGCTTCTTGATATAAATTAGGCAGTGCCTATGAATACTAGAAGTGAATGGCCCCTTTCACTTAGGCTTAACCCAAATTTAAATTTTACAAAAAAACACAACAAATTTCCATTTTCTTCTCATCTTATTAACTATGGAGATTGGTATTTACTTGAATCCAAAATCTTGGCTGCCAAACCCAATTCTGTTGGGTTTTAATGTTGTGGGATTTTGTGTGATTGAAATTCTTTGTCCTTGCCACGTAAGCTTTGATATGCTGACCTGGACATCGCCATGTGTCAAATAATGGTTTAGCCCCTCTTTGTAGGTATTTTTTCCTCCCCACTTTGCCCCCAATTCTCCCCAATTTTGTGTAATTGTACAAATTGAAGGGGATCATTCGTTTCTGGGATTGGAAAGGTTTTATTCGAGCGATGAAAAAACCCTGTAAACTTGTTCAATTAGAGTTATGCACATATTTTCTTCTACGTGGATAACATGAAAAAAATTGCAGGGTTCGCTTGATTAATGAACAGTGAGCCGGATAGTAGCGCTGACGAGTCAGAAGTTCGTTCAAGCCAGCAGCAGCTTCGACTAAACGAGTTTATGGAAAAACCTAAATAATCAGCGGAGTAATAGTTCAGAATAAAGAAGTATCTTCATGCATTGTGTGAACTTTGATGCTGTTAGCTGCAATGGTGGTGATACTGTTGTGAACTGGTGTGACTGAACTTGTGCTAAAATCGATGCATTGTGTGAACTTTGATACTGTTAGCGGCAATGGTTGCCGTGCTGTGTTGTGACAAAACCAACAAAACCATCAAATCCGACAAGGAGCTACTGAGCTTTTTTTTATTTTTTTTATGCATCCCTTCGCCACAAATAGAGAGAAATTTTACAAACGAGAACTTGATCAAAATGATGTCCCTTTGACATAAGAGGCCTTGATAGTTGATACTCTAGTTGGCTAAAATCTTTAGAAGATGCACAAACACAAACAAATAAAAGGGTTATAGGAATGAAATGTCAATGCCATCAAAGCAGCATTTGCCATTAACATGAATCAGACAAGAGTACAAATTTCAGCGTGTGTAAAAAAATGAAAAATCCGTATAGTACAGGTCAAGAGCTATCAAGAAACACAAGGAACTAAAAAATGAACAAAAAAATCAGTATGCTGTCGAGAAACACAAGGAACTACGAACTGAATTGGTAGGGAAAAGAAAAATCAGAACCAATGGAAAATTGGCTCAGCTCATCTTCAATTAGGAAATCCATACCGCCTGAGATTAGTGGAAACAATAGCTCGATAATTGTTCCCATTTCCAGAGAAGTTGTAAGGAAAATATCATCGATTGAGCCCCAGCATGAAATGCATCTTGAACCAACTTGCTCAAATGGAAGAAAGATTTTTCTGAAAGAAGAAATAATTGCACGATCTAGATTAGAAAATGACCGGTCTAATCCATATATCAGATAAAAAAATGCAAAAACTAAGCAGGATATGTACCGCATCAACAGTCTATCCATTTCCTTTCCCCTCAAATCCGAAGGTAATTTCCTCTTTCTACACTTCCTAAAGTTCTCTTGAGGAATGACTTCCTGTTGAGAGACCAGCTTCTCCTCATAACTCTTCTCCTGTTCCAAGCAGTTACATGGGTATAAAGAAATGGGAAAACGAAGCAAAGAAGCACAAACAGTAGCATTCCCACACAAAGAAACATGACATTGCGGAACCCGTCCCTTAGCTCTGGGGCATCTTGTCCGGTCCATGGAACTCCTCCCACATTCATCCCAAACACTGTTAAGATAACCCAACAAAGGACTCATGTCAACTATAAAGAGTAAAATTTGTTTTGAAATGCTTACAAAGGTAGGTTTAAAGAAATAGCTAACCTCCAGTGATAATGGATAAAGGAAGGAATACGATCGAAAGAAATGAGAGGTAGTATAGTTTTTTATTTATTTGCTCAGCTTGCCAACTATCAAGTCCAGCCTGGATCGCTGTCACACGATTGGCTATAAACCCAACAGTCTCCTTTAGCCTCCTGAGCCGTCCAATTAACTCTTCAATGGAATTAATTTCCTCATTGGCAAACCAACTTTTTGAAGAGCACTTCTCCCTAACTAGTGAAAACACTTGCTCCCCATGCGCAATCACCTGTTTTCAAGTAAAAAAACTATACTTGCATAAAACAATAACAATGTTCAAACTACATGTTTTAACTTCTTAACTGTTAGATTCATTAGAGGATAAAATCAAATTAATTGGTTACTGTAACCTTGACAAATCAGATTTTGATTGCTCAAGTAATAGTGAGTTCACAATACTTATGGCCCATGTATAGAGCAAAGTATTTTGTTCTCACAGACTCAAATTCCATGTAAGGAGCTGTATTGACTTTGTTGATGTGGGGAAATTCCTTAGGCCTAGCTTCGGGCCTCGTGCATGCCTCATGCTTTCATGTCTTCTGTTTTAGGGGTCCACAGCTACTTAACACAGACTAAAGTTCATGAAATTATCAAGCAAACCATAATTAATCTGTTATCACTAACTAAAAGTTCCCCATAAGTAGTAAGATTTTCTTCATTTTGTCCGATGGGCCATAGGAAATGGACAGGGCTGGAGAAACTACCTGCAGGAGGCGCTGCAAGTTAAGATGCATTTTTGGGAATCTTCTATCATCCAGCATTTGTTTTTTCAAAGCAAAACCACCTGCAATCAAGTAAGATAAAATCATGCACTAGAATTATGTGTCGAGATTTAAACCGCAACAATAAAATATTAATAATGATGATGATGACGGCAAGCTATTGAGTAAGCTGATTTTTTTCACCCCAACCATGCCAATTTTCAATTGTTGTACTATTATGGCAGCGGATTTTGAACTCGTAGATTCATGCAAGCATTCCAAAAATTGACACTTGAGCGCCTCCATAAGAGAGTGGATGCGCTAAGATAATGTCGAATATGAGAAACAACAAACGATTATGAATAAATCACCAAAACAAATCTGAATCCAATTCCAGGGTGTATGCTATTTGGTGATAATATTGTTCGAATTGATGAAACTATAGAAGAGATAAGTACTAAATTAGAGGTCAGAGCTTTAGAATCAAGAGGGTTCAGGTTAAATAAATAGATAGGACTGAAACAGAACATACAAACCATATTAGCAAAACAAGAAATACAAGTGCGGATGTAATGAAGATTGAGGTTCAAGAGATGTTGAAAACCAAAAACAGTAGAGATAATGTTATAGAATTAAAGAAAAATGGGCTACATGGAGGAGTGCTTCTGGCATATTATGAGACATTAATGTAAACCTCTAAAGTTGAAAGGTAAATTATAACATTGACTTTATTGGACAGAATGTAGGTGGTTAAGAAACAATAAATTCATATAATGACCAAGGCTGAAATATGAGCATTGAAATAGATGTATGGCAAGACAATGATTGATAAAATTATAAACAAATACATTCGCGGAATGATTGAAGTAGAATCAACTGGAAATAAAATAGAGAAAATTGATTAAGATGGTTTGATCAAGTGCAATGTAGCCAATAACTATACCGACCAGAAAGAGTGATGATGTCCACATTGATAGTAATGCAAGGGAAGGTGAAGAAAAAAATTAACGTGGGTTAAGAACTATATATATATATATATATATATATATAGCATGTATTTTTATTGATATTATGACCTATACAGAAAATGGTGAAACAGGATTCATGTAGTTGATCCCAGATAGACGGGAAAAAGGCTTTGTTGAGTTAAGATGCGTTGAGGAACAGCATAGAACAAGAACTTGGGAGTCTGACTGAGTTTGACTACAACCCTTGTTAAAGTACTTATATATCTTACTCTTAGCAGATAATAAGGTTGAGAATACCTTAAATCAGGAAGAAACCAACAATTACATGTCATAAATTACAATGAATCTCTCGGGTTTTCGATAAGCGAAGCACTGAGTCAATACTTAGAATACCTAAATAATGAAACAACCAACAATTACACAACAATCAAATAAAGAGTCAGAATCCAACATGAGTTAACAACAAAAATTACCTGGTAGATCAATATTTACATTATGAAGAATGAAATGGAGTACATGGGACGACAGGAACATTTAGGTCAGTCGATTGGAGTAGCCGTGAATGAACGATAATAACACTTTGAAATATGGAACAGGATACCTTCGTAGAAATAATAAAAACTAACATACATAATGAATGCATTCATGACAAACTAGACGCAATGCCAAATGAGAATGGGATGAGGTTGAACTGCCTATGATTATTTGTGCATGACAAAAGACCAATGTTTACACCAACTAATTTCAACCAAGTAAAAGGTGCAACGGTAGTGTGGCATAAGAGAACGCAGCCAAGTCAGCGAGTAAATACATGAAGGCCACCATTTGGCAGACTGTGAGGCTATAAATAAAGTCGAATGGCAACAAAGGATCCACATAATTCAAACCCCAGTAGTTGGGATGTAACTTTGTCAAGTTGAGAACATCATAATAAAGTATTTCTTCATAATGCACAATATCTTTTATTCCTGGATGATGTTCAACGTCCTTAATTAAATTAAGAAACCATTTACACCAAACTAACCACAAAAGCAACAACTTACTCCTATATATCTGGGCTCCTTTCCTGTTATGATGGCCTTTACATTTTTCAGAAGTTTTCAATCAATTATATAGTTTTCAAAACTGGCCTCTTTAGAAGGAATAAATTTCTCTCTTGAATAATAAATATAGAATTTCCTAAAACAACACCCACATTTTGTTTACTGTCCAGAATGTTAACATATAGGGACATACCATTTTATTACAACACCGTGTGTCCATGGGATTCATGTTATGGTCCCATCTCTAAACATAGGCCATCCCTTCAAACCAATCTTATCACAGCGTCCACAGTATTCAACCTAGACTCTCAGTGCCCTCATTTAGCCATACTTTATCAAGGCTGGATAATATTAACCATCTTTCTTTTTCCCCAAGGTTAGACAAGTTATCAGTGCTGCAGGCAAGGAGGCGTGTTTCGATCAATTACAATAAATTTAAATTTTCATATAAGTATCTAAAGTTTAATTCACCAAGAACCTTAAGTTTGATCGTATCATATTTTTCGATGTCCTTCTTTATCAGGTGCATGGAGGCCTTGCCTAAAAAAAGTAATCATCGTATGATGTTCATTTTAGTCGTTCATGATTTCAACTTCTACTTTTCTGTTATTAAATAATACAAGAAGACCTTACCTAAAAAAGTAGAATATCATCATATAATGTTCATTGACTATGATGATCAAAAGAGTTCATCTTACAAAATCTTACTTTAATCACTGAAAAATGTTTTAAGATCATCACTGGGTAATCCAACCAAGTTTCAATGCAATCAGCTTAATATCAATTTATCTTTCCAGAAATGAGCTAAGTACAAGTGAGGGCACATTTGGAATTTTGTCAAAAACTTGCCAAGAAGATATTTCAAACATGAGTGTCAGCCACAAATTATAAACAATACATCGTGCATTGCAACTATTTGATCAAGAGTGGTATAGTCGAAAAATTATATATTAATATTTAAAACCTCCGTTTCACTTCTAATTTTACATGTAGGTATAGCATATAATCTTCAACTTGATATTTCAGAAAATATGCCGTAATTATAATAGAAAAGTTGGCAGCTTCACTGTCATACCTAATTACCACACAGACTAAATGACTTAAAGGTCTTAGGCCAGAAAGAACATTTTGAGGTTCAAAATTGAATTATAGAAAAATATTGATAGCCAACAATATCCTTCAGGTTTCCTGAAACAACAGGGAGAGTTTCCCATGATTTCCAGCAATTTTATTAGTGTTGCAGCAATGTTTATCATTGTTGCAGAAATGAAGATACTGGAGATGGAATTTGACGTGGGTAAGTAACGCTGCAGAAAAATTAATAAACCTAGATACATTAAGAGAGCACTAATTTTTTATTGAATGTGATAAAATCTTTCCATTTCATTTAATTATATTATAGAATCATGAATGAAGCCTCATTCTGGTTGGTCATGATGAATCAATAAGATTGTCTTGTTTGTAAGTTCAAATTTGAAAGGGGCAAATATATGAAAATCAAAGTAAATAGGTTGGTTATAATATACCTCCTCAAATCCACTACATAAAATAAGTAAATAAATAATTGCTCTTGACTAGGGTAGCAAATAAACCGAGCTACTCTTGTTAAGGACTTATCGAAGCTAATTTACACATGAACCAAGCTTGAGCAACACTAACTCGGCTCCTTTAGATTGCGTATAGTTCGTATAGGTTTCATATAGCTACAACAAAGGGGTGCTTCATGAAACTTGCACAAGTAGAGAAGATACAATTGTTGACAGGAGTAAATTTAATTTTTGACTAATATATAAAATAAAGTAAAAGGAAAATTTAAGCAAGGTTTTTACTCTATTATAAAGTTATAAAACTTATTTTTATTAGTCGTGTTAAATATGTTGTATTATACTATAAATTTAGTGTTAAGTAGTTTCCTTTCCCCCTGCCGCCCCCTCCCCGGACGAAAGTTCAAGCAAACATTCACACACCCACAATATTGGGAACACTCAACCTCCCCTTTGGAGAGGAGAGATCGTACCATCTAAGTTGATGCCCGCGCATTGGTGTTTAGGGTTAAGTTGATAAATCGGGGTATTCAGAAGGAAAAAGAAAAAAGAAGGCTCTAGCAAAAACTTGGGTTTTGAACTTGTGAAGTTCTAATGAACCCAGATTGAACATCCCAATTCTCGGGTCGGTTTGTTTGCAACTCTGTTTTTACTCTAGCAACTACCTCTATGGAAATAACTAAACCATCGTGCTCGTCTATTAACCTGCCTCCTATTAGGAATTTTAGTGATTGTCACCTGGTGGTTACAGATCAAGGAGAAATCAAGGGCATAACAGAAGGAACACATGCAACATGAAAGGATGTCTCTTGCTATCTTCCTTACCAATCTTGAAATAAGAACTTGTAAGATTTTGTATCCTAAAGAGATGATCTTAAGCAAACAATAGTTGAGGTAAAATAACAGCAGGGAGAAAAATAATAATGCAGCCCAGCTTAATTTCACATAAAGAGAAAATTTACCTTTATCCATTTCTATCTCTACTCCATCCAGCTCAATCTCAAGTTTGGTCACAATATCTTGGAGGTGATCAACGTGCGTGTCAATAATGTGTACAACAAGATCGGAGACAGATTTCGGGACAGGATTATCAGCCTCCTCAGAATGGTTCATTGTCAATAAAAATTCCAAAACATGCTCCCTGATAACAATTCCACCTCTTTCCCTCCGCTCCCCTCTAACATAATCCGGACTCTCTACACTAGGAATCTCAGAGAGAAGAGATTGTCCAATTGGCGAAAAACCCAATCTGGGAACACGGCCCAAAGACACTGTAATTACCGAATTCTCAGTAACTCTTGCGGCAATTCTGAATGTATAATTGCTAGAAGGAGGACCTGGTGAATTAACTCTGAAAACAAGAGCACCATCAACATGCCCACAAAAGGGTCCATTGCTAACGAGTGAAAGAATGTCCTGGAGTTTCAGGGGCGGGCAGAGAACATCAATGAGGTATTGTGCAGATTGTGATAGCTTCTGATTCCCTTTCGGAAGTTCCACATGGTACCAACAAAACTCTTTGCCGCTACCCTCCGTAAGATCCCATTCCTTGTTATAAAAATTCCCTTCTCCATCAAATATATAGGATTTTTTTCTCACAGCACCGGGAAAATGTGTTCGCTGAATTTGTGTCTCCATGAGAGGAGCAACAGATAACCGTTCTCTCTCCATTTCCTCTCCCTCTCCCTCTACCTCTCCATTTAGCTCTTCATTAACCAGCTCCATCATTTTCCTCAACTATCTCCGAATTAATCCAATAAAAAAATGAGATCAAGCAGATCAAACACAATAGATTCTAAATCAACTTCAATAACAGTTGCAGCTGACATCAATTTACAGATTTCAACATCAAATAACTCTCTATTATCAATATATTCTGATCAAATCTAATAACCAAAATGAAGCAGATGATATTTAATCATACCAAACAAATTAAACTAATAAAACCCAAATCAAAACCATTCACCAAAACTGCAACAAACCCATCAAACCCCACTTAAACATCACCAAGATTTCAAATCCGTGTCTTTCATTGATTTCCAACCATTAAGCATATCTAATCACAACCCATTTTAGCATACAAAAAGAAATCTATATCCACACCAACAAACAATTATATGAAGCACAGGGAGTTTTACCTCACAGAGAGCCTAAACAGAACACCAACAAACGAAGAAGACCCAAATTAGCACAAGCAAAACCCATCAACGGTCACCATTAGAACCCAAATGAAAATCCCAATAAACGATCTTTTTACCATTCTTGGAAGGTCTTCTATCAACCACACAAGTTGTCCCACATAAGTACTCCGTATATACAAATAATACTAGGCTTATTTTATTAAAAATCAACTAAAATTTTTGAAAATTTTGTGTCCGACGGTCAGAGGAAGCAACAAGGAAAGATAAACAAAACAAAACAAAATACAAGACACCCACCTTCGGGGCAGTTTCTTCGCAGCTTCCTCTTTGGCCTGTGAACCCCCCATTTGAAAGTTTTTTAATTATAAAAGAGTTGTGTATTTAAATGGCAATTAAATATTAGTTTAAATAGGAAACCTCTCTTTAATCAGCATGTTAAACACATCATTAACATAATAATTTCTAGGCATGAATTCATACAATCATTATGCTTGCTTCTTGTTGAGAGTGCTTAAAGGGGTGCATAAAATATCCCCATCCTTTTTTTTATTTTTTATGGTGGGATCCGGTTTTGATTTTAAAAATAAAAAATCATTAACTAAAAGTTTAATTCTGACTTCTGAGGTTGGTGGTTAATTAGATATTTATATTTATATAATTTATATAAATAATAAACTTTCTAATCCTAACCTAATAATATATAATAAAACATATATATTTATACAATTTTATATAAATAATAAGTTTCTTAAATCCTAACCCAATAATAAACAATAAAATAATAATTAAAATAGATAAGGCTTGACCTCAAACGAGTGTGATTATCACCAAAAAGTCATATTAAATAAACATTAACATAATTATTTTAAGGTATGCCAACATCAGCACCCAAGAATAAACATTGCCCCATCTTTTTCATTCATAAAATACACTTTGTTGAGAGTTGATGTTAGCATTCTAAAAAAACCCTCCAAACAGAGTGCAAAGTGGAGATGGCTTAACCGAGGATATTTATACGGAATCATAGAGTGGGGTAGTTAAAGTCTGATCATTTATGGTTCGGGTAATATCGTCACTTCTGATGTGATTAAAATTTATTTATTTGTTATAATAATAATTTTTTATTTTCTGCTTACCGTATATAAGGAAGGCGAGGTTTAATTGGTGCAATGCAAAAAATCAAAGAAACAGAAACAGTCAGAGTTAAATTTGAATTAGAGTGTTTTGAATAGAGCTTCAACTTGTACAATTATTTACCTGAAATTTTCATGAATTTTTGGACCATGCAGTAACAAATATACACAATAATGTTTAAACTTTTAAACAATTAAATTTATGCTTTGATTGATTTATGATGTCTTTCATAGTTTATAATACAAGTAACAACTGATTGGTGTCCCCTAATTTAGGAAGTTTGTCCTCTAATCAATCATATTTGTTCATTTATGTGGGTTGAATTCTATTGTGTTCTCAAATAAATTTCACATTTATTGGATCACATGAATGAACAAATTGAATTGCCTATTCATTAGAGTCCACTATTCTTAAATGAAGCTGAGAAAAAAAAAAAAATATATATATATATATATATATATATATAGTTGCAGTGAAGTGTTAAATCCAATCTTTTAATCGGTCAATTATACAAAGGAAGTGAAACCCTCCAATATCACTCCAAGTGTTCGGTGTAGTATTTTATTTTTTTACAAGGTAAGAAAGATTAGAAGTTAGATAAATAGAATCGAAACCAGGCACTCTAAAATCTATCGGAGGCATTAATCATGAGAAAATATAGAAAAACATGACATTGTATATATAGAATCAATGTCTTAGAAATAGAATTAGATAAAATTAAATTTAAAAGTTTAACTGATTAATCTTCTACCAATATTTCCAACTCTAAACCATCAATTTTATGATACTTAACAATAGTAAAATAAAATAAAAAATAAAAAATTTGGTAAGTGCAAAAATGGTAAAAATAAATAAAAAGTTTCTTATTGGAGAATAAAATTAAAAGATGACGCAAGCATGCCATGATCGACATTGAATTAAAGAACAAGTTACAAACTAACTCATGCCTTCCTAAAATTCAAAATTTTCAATAATTAGAGCACTATGTTCACATAATTTTCCTAAACTAACATGTGTGTTTTGTGTTTAGCACATGGTTTTTAAAATTCTGATTTTGGATATTAGAAGCTTAAGATTCAAGATCCTAAATTTCCTAACTTCTTGTTTAGCCCATCGAGAAAATTATTATATGGTCTAAAATTACATGATCACGAACTTGATAGATATGTAAAAATCTGAATAAAATTAACACATTTGCTTACGTGTTTCTTTGTGATTGACCGGGACCTGTAGTCCGAGACAATGTAAAAATTTCTACCTACCTGTATACGCATAACGTACTTAACTAGAGCAAAGAACCTATATTTAAGGAGGGATCGAATAAACTTGGAACCTAACCCAAGTAATCTGATGGTTCGTATTTGCACATTATAGTAATGATGACCATGAGAATAACATCATCATCCTAAGACTACTAATTCAAGAAAGTAATAAGTATACCAAGGTGAGCCATCTCAATCTACAAAGTGGGTAGTACCTACAGACTGAGCACTCTTATAACATCTTGAACTATACATACATACATATATATATATATATATCATTTTATGTCAGTTAAGCTCTTTTTTTTGCAGGACCACAATCCTGATTTTTGTTGGGCCCAGTTGGACATATGGAACTTGGCCCAGCCCAGAAATCAACCTGGATTGTAGAGTTGTTTTTCTCTGTTTTGGTATGGGCTTCCAAAGTTCATTCTAGCTTGACAAGTAACTGAACATAGTTGGGCCATGGTTCGTTCCAAGTGGGCCGAACCAGAGGGTCAGGCTTAGAAGTTTTCATGGCACCACTGAAAAAACCAGTCCAGTGCTCGTGTGCACTATTCACACTACATCACAATGTAACGCGATGTCACATATGGAACACTAATGCAATAATAAAGAAACACTCATGTAGCATAATATATTGTGTTGTAATACTGTAATATCATTAAATTAAGAATTTAACATCTTTACGTAATTATTGCAAGTTTAAATTTAAAAAAATTCTCGATTTGTGCGTTTATAAATCTGCCCTCCTCTAATATATATGTTAATTTGTAGATGCAGCCAACCATTTTCGAACTTCGAAATAGGGATCATATATTTGTATCTGTATGTATATAATGTCAACTAGGTCAAATTTGTTATCAGATAATTAGAATCACATAAGGAGAAGAACTTGTGGATATAGTATTGCATACCGGGCCTTTATTTTTTCTAATTTTTAAATTTGGAAGATGTTATTTTTTTTCTCCAATTGTGCCATTTCTATGGTCTCGATTCATGCAATTGTGCTAATGTATTATTCTACAGTCGGCGTCGGAGTCATGATTTGAATTCAAGGGGCATAATGGGAATTTAATTTTTAAAAAATAAGAATAAGAAAAAAAAAATGAATTTTGAAGAAAACAAATTAGAGCATAATTAGATAAGGAAAATTTAACCTTTTTAAAAAGGTAATTAAAGAAATTTAAAGAGAAAAATTAAAAACTAATAATTCTAAGGAACATAATATATATATATATATATATATATATATATATATAATAAAATAAAAACCATATATAAGAGTGTGCCGGGGAGCATGTTCCCTGGCACACATGGCTCCGCTCCTGTTTACCTTTGACATGCATGACCATGTAGTATCACCATTGTTAACTCATAAAAAAATTAATCCAAAGTCACAACTTGCATTATTAACTTATACAGAATTAGAGTTAAAATATTATTCGTTAGTAGTCAAGAATCTAATCAACATGGTTCCAAAGGAGAATTTCCTTTCCAAACCAATCAAAGTGAAAAAGATTAAGGAAGTGAAATAGGTATATAAATTTTTTGTCAAGATAAATAATAATAATAAGAGTAAAGTGCAAAAATAAAATTCTCTTTGAATTATATTGGAATTTGTAAATAACTCCCTTAAAAGTATATTTTTGTCCATAATACATCTTGAAATATCAATTTTTTTTATTTTTTATTTTACAAAATGCCCCAATGCGTAGGCAATATTTCATTAAATGACCATAATGTTATTTCTTATTGAATTACACTTAATTTATTTTTATTATTAAAATAAATTATGAAAAAAAATTCATACTAATTTTATGACATACTCTCCACTAAATTTGCATAAATGTATTTTTAGTTTTTTCAATTAATTGTTTAAATAAAAATCTTAAAGTATAAAATTTTAAAACAATTTAATTAATTTCTTAATTTTTTATGAATATATTACATGAAAAAATATATTTTTTATTTAAGTAATTTATTAATTTTTATTAATATATTATATGAAAAAGGTATTTTTTTACGGTAAAAAATTTTAAACCGAGTATAATAAGTGATTATTCATTTGAATTGAAATCATTCCACTAAAAATTTAATTCTTTTTTTATTTTTAATGTTTGTGAGGATATAACAACTGTTTGTGCATTTAGCTTAACGCAGCTTTTCAAAAGTCAATCCAAATTAGGGGTGGCAACGAGGCTAGTTTTGAGCGGGTGTACCCTCCCGCCCCTACAACCGTTTAGAAATCCCGTCTCGCCCTCGTCCAAAATCGCCTAAACGGGTCTTTCCACCCCATCCTCGCCCAAGTTTAATTTTTTCACCCACGTTTAGTTCTAGAATTTTTCTTACTTTAAAATTTTTTTTTTCTCAAAGACAATTATATAAATATTTAAATTTTTTATAAAAAATAGACAATCAGTAATTTAACATAAAATTCAAAAGTATAAACGTTCTTAGTTCGTAGAGGTCGATTGCTCTTTAGAATGAATAAGAAAGTGAATGAATGTGAATTGTAGTTTTTAGAGCTAATTATATATATTAATAAAATAAAAATAATTTAATAATTTACCTATTTAAATAAGACAATGACTTCTCCCGCTCTTCTTCCGAACCCGTAAATGTCGGTCTTTCAAAATTCCTAAAAACGGGCGGAATCTACACGGAAGAAGACCTAATAATAGGTCCATATTTCTAATGTTCACATCAAATGTTGAAACATTATCTCTTCATCTACGAGTCCCATCTGGGCCATCTCACATAAATGATATCTGACCGTTATTCTCTAACGCAGAAATCATCCTACGGTGGTGCAATGAGTATCAAAAGTCTATACTCCTCTAAGACTATGGCATCCATTCTGAAAAAGATGAGTTGACAAGAAGGATCTTTCGC